ATGGAAAAGTTCAAGGGGTATGAATACTTTTGCAAACCACTGTAACTGGTCAGTGAACAGCAGAAAACAGCAGCCGAGACAAAAACAATGTTCTTATTGTAAGGTTTATTTTATTATACAGTATGAACAGGAGTCTATAATGATATTCATTAGCTTCAATACACTCACATTCCTCCCACTCCGACAGGAGCTGTCTGAAGCAGACTCACCAGGATTTAAACTGTGGCACACACACACACAGCCCCAACCCCACCCCATCCAATCAGAGCCCACCCTGCAACAGTCCAAAAACTTTCTTTTAAATATACTGCAAAGATTGTACAGAATATAAAAATTCACACAGTAAACTAAAGTACACACATTTCTTTCTTTCTTTTTTTGTCTTTACCTCTGGTATAAACTAACACATAAGTGGCAACTTTGAGGCTAATTAGATTATTCAGGTCTGGTTTGGACCAGGAGGCGGCTAAAATCTTGTGAAAACAATACAAGGCAAAAATGTATTTTTATTTAAAAAACAAAAACGAAACAAATATATTTTTAAACATCTATAACTAATGCAACTAGCTCTGTGGCAATGGAGCAACATAATGCTTTAGAGTTGTGTCATGTCAAAGCTTGTGATAATCCTGGAAATGAAAGGAAGCTGCTTGTGAAATAAAGCGAGCTCATTCAGAGTGAATAGAAAAGTGGGTAACATAAGCACTTTACAGTTCAGAGCGTATACACACAGTCTATAATATAACAGAGTAGACTATTCCATAAATCAGTAGTCATAAATATTACACTGTGCATGTTCTATTGCACAAGTCAAGTGTTTGTATGACATGATAGATATCATTTGTTTTAATACAAAGATGCAACAACACACATTTCATCGGACACTGGCTATACATTTTCACAAATCCACTTGAATGTTTTTTTTTTCTTCTTCCTCTTAGGATGTTTTCCTAAATAAACCAAATCCTATAATACAACAGTGATATTAGGGTGATATAAATATTCATGCACAAACAGATGATACTACCAAGAGCTAATACGTGAGGAGATACTGTAGCACAAAGCCAGCTGCTGGATGGAGTGGACAGGAGGTGTCTATCAGCTTSACTACACATGAACTTCAATTTAAAAACATGAAATATGTGACCGGTGAAATGAAAAGGTAAAACAAAAAAGGGGGTGTGGGGGAGGGATAAAAGCACAAAAACAAAAAAAGGCACATGGACTGATGCGGAGCCAACACAAGGACACAAAAATGGGATGACTGGACGTTCTAGTGATCTTCCTCAACATGATCAACGGTCACGAAACAACCACATGCAATCACAAACTAAAGGTCCCACACTCTGAACAAAAACTTTCCCACAACCCACACCTCCCACCGGTTCTTCTTTCAGGTCAGTTTTTCTTAAATGAACAGGAATCTAATTCCTCTGTGCCTTCAACTCAATGAGGGGGGGTGGACTGAGCCTCATGCTGGAGTCTCACTGGGCTGCAATGCTTGGTGACGAGCTGGAGATCAACRTTTGCAAGTGGCGATTCATGGATCACAGGCTGTCGTTTGAATTTTACACGTTAAAAAAAATGATCCAATTTACTCTCACATGTCCAGTCTCACTGCAGGTTTCTAAAACCAGTATCCAAGTCTTTGATGTTGTTGTCAGAGAATCAAACGCATCTGAAAYTCATCTCAAATGCTTTTTTTCTCTCCATTTCTACTGCTCAAATATGAAAACTCACTAATATTTTGGTTAATATTGCAATCATGATCATTGAAAACAATTACACTTTAGAATTGGAAAATGTTTCATATTTTTGGCACTTAAAGCAAACTGCTTTGAAGGTAAACTTTGCTCTTAAAAACATTTATTTCTTTAAATGTWGGCTAGTTGTAAAACAATAAACACAAATAAATAAAATCCGAAATACTGTGCACTTTCAGCATTGTAAGGCAGTTTGTTCCCACCCAAATTATTCATTTTTAAATATCACGTTTACAACTACATATTTTTACCTCAAATATGTCAACATAATGGCAAAATATCCTAAATGTCATAACGGATAAATTTCAACAGAGCAAACAGTAAATCAGTTCAAATGAACATTCAGTGATAAAAGTAAAAAATGTTTATAAATCTATTTGTAAGTCCTTTAMGAACGGAAAAACTTACTTTGTCAAAAATAAAATAAATACACCTGTTAGTTAAATAAATCTGCTTCACTTTAAATCCTATAAGTCCCTCTAGTTCATAAGTATTACAGGAAATATAGAGTAAAATCATTGTTTTCTAGTCTTGTCTTATTTAACTTGCTGCTGAAAATGATAACACGATGCTTCAGCAGCTCAAAGGAGGCAAAGGCTTCAGCACACTTGAAAAGCAGAAATGTCAAAACATTTTTGCTAATCTTTTTTGTTGTTGTTGATTATCCTGTTTTTGTGATCGTTTGGAGCAAAATCAATAAGTGCACAGGCCTGTGTGATTCTGCTGCCAGCGGCTCAGACAGTGTGAGTGCATGCTTGAACATGAGTTTCCTTTGACAGAAAACCTGTCCAGTTTAAAAAAGAAGAAATACTTTGTAACAAACTGATCTGAGACCATCCTGATTTCAAACGCGTACTGCGGGAAATTAAATCCTCAACGTGCTGCCACGGTGGGTACAAAGTGGGCCCAGATGGATATGGTGTGGGTGAGCAAGTACAGTGTGCAGCTTAAATACAGTTTGGTATGGCGTGCACACAGAAAAAGCAGTGGTTTTTCAAAACTTATCCTGTTTTCTTGCAATCTGAAGTCACCAACTGGTCTCCCCTGAATGCAGCCCAGTGAGATACGACTGATGAGACTCATAATAAATAGGAAGGTGTTGGTAACTGAACTGGCTGAGCAGAGGCTGGCACGGGGTTCCTTCAGAGTCCTTGATGCTCTGTGCTGAGCAGCAGCTCAGTTCATTGGATGCAGGGAGCTTCGGAGAAGTTCTCGCCCTCAGCCGTGTGCTGGACCGTGTGCTCCTGCAGGGCCGTGAGGTCCACAAAGCGCTCGCCGCACCACACGCACTTAAACTGCGTCTCCCGCGAGTGCACGCTCTGGTGCTTGGCCAGGTGCTCCCGCTGCTTGAAGCTCTTCTCGCAGCTGGCGCACTTGAAGGGCTTCTCGCCGGTGTGCACCCGGCGGTGGCGCTGTAGCTCCGACGAGTACCTGAAGCGCTTCTCGCAGTCGGGGCACTTGAGCGGCTTCTCCCKGGCCGGGTCGCAGCGGTGCTGGACGAACTCGGAGGACGACACGAAGCGCTTGTCGCACAGGGAGCACTTCAGCGGCTTCTCGGCGCAGTGGGTGCTCTGGTGGCGCTGCAGCGTGGAATTCTTTTTGTAGCCCTTGCCGCACACGTCRCACTTGTAGGGTTTCTCCACCTCTCCACCGCATTTGTGCCGCAGCAGCTCCCCCGATTGGCTGAAAGACTTCTGGCAGGACGCACACTTAAACAGACTCTCCATGCCGTGAACTTGCTGGTGGTAGAGCAGATGAGACGGCTGCAGGAAGCCCTTATCGCAGAGGTTACACTTAAAAGGCCGGTCRGCGGGGTTTTTATGAGTGCGGCGGTGGCGCACCAGCGCGTACTGCTGCTTGAAGCTCATCTGGCACTCCTCACACTGAAACGGACGCTCCTCGGAGTGCGTGCGCTCGTGCTGCCGTAGATCGGAGGGCCGCTTGAAGCTCTTCCCGCACGATTCGCAGCGGAAAGGTCTCTCCCCTTCAGGCTGGCACTGGTGGTGCAGCAGCTCGGACGACTCTTTAAAGTGCATCTCGCACAAATTGCACTTGAACAGGTGCTCGCCCGAATGAGCGTACATGTGCCGCACCAGGTGCGAGCGGTGCTTGAAGCTCTTCTCGCACACGGCGCACTTGTACGGCCGCTCCGAGCTGTGCGTGCGCTGGTGGTGCGCCAGGTGCGAGGACTGGCTGAAGCTCTTGTCGCACGTGTCGCACTTGTACGGCTTTTCACCCGTGTGTATTCTCTCGTGGCGCGTCAGCTCGGACAAGTGCCGGAAGGACTTGTGGCACACGGAGCACTTGTACGGCCGATCTGGCGAAGAAGCCTCGAACGCAGGAGGAGACGAGGCACTGATCGCTGCGCCGCCTCCAGACGTCTCCCCGGTGGAGGGTTGCTGGGGGTTAGAGGATGACGTCGGGGTGACGTTCCCAGAGCCCGGCCTGTAGGTTTTCTCACAGATGGAGCACTTCATTGGATTGTTTCCGTGCGAGTTGTGATGCTGGGCCAGGGAGGTGAGCAGCGAGAAGCCCATTTTACAAACGGCGCACACGAAAGGCTTCTGCTCCACCTGAACACACTGATGCTCCAGCAGGTCCGTGGCCTGGCTGAAGATCTTCATGCACTGCGTGCACTGGAACGAACGGTCTTGTGTCACCATGCACTGGTGCTCATGAGGGTTGGCCAGATGAGACAGGTCCAGGCCACAGACGCCACATTTGTGTCCTCTATCGCCCCCTACCTGCAAGGAGGGCTGCTGAGCTTGAACAGCGTGCTGCTGGGTGAGCTGGGGCTGCTGCAGGGAGGCGTCCGGCTGCAGGACAACGCCGTACACTGTGCAGCTCAGAGGGCTGTCCGTGGCTTGGGGGAGCGTGTGCACAACAGCAGGTGGGGCCACTGCATGTTGCTGCTGCTGCTGCCATGCCTCCGTCATCATTACCTTTTGGATGTAGGTAGCTCAGTGTTCAGAAAGAGAGGATTTCAGTCCCAAATCTGACGGGAGGARGGATGGAGATGCAGAAATAGTAACCAATTCTCTGAAGGGGAGCGAAGTGTTGGAACTGTGTTCACACAGGTCCTGTCAGATTATGGAGAAAACCTAGAGGTAAATTCAGAAATAAAAACATAGTAAAAATTACACAAGATAATACTGAACTAAGTGCACACAAGCTGTAGAGTTCACATAATGGCATTTTATGGGTCAGCCTTTCTGTTCACTTTCAGAAAAAAAAGATCAAATAACTATTTAAAGCACTGCTTGATATAAGCAGAAATCTGAAGAAAAAGGCCCTACACTTAATAGTTCCACCTACATTTCATGATGAAAACAGTAAATGTTAACCTCTGCTCCGCTCTGTACTAAAGAAAATTATAATCAATGGGACCCGTCTATTTGCTGAAACGCAATTCAAGGATGTAAYAGATTGTTCTTTACGATACACGACTGGTTTATTTGCTACACGTGTTTAAATGGAAGTTTGACTTGTCAAATGCAGAAAAACAAATGCACTATCTGACATATTAAACCTAATTTTATTTCTGCTCCAGGATTTAGCTCGCTGTCAGCCATTAGCTTGTCAGCTGCGGCAGCTAACGGCTAACAACCAGAGCCTCCTTCGGAAAAACTGTTTCCTCATTTAAAAAGCACAAAACCCCGATGTTTCGCCGTGATGATGTGTAAAGTAACTGGTTTAAAAGAAATGGGAAGTGAGTGAAATGGTGCAACCTTTAAGCTAGACTTCACGAAAAGGCCACAATAGTGGTTTGATGCCCTGCTAACGGACCCTGGATCAGATTAGCTGTCTTAACGCTTGAAGCAAGGCTGGGCTGCAAACGGACCCCAGATCAGGGCAGGCCTTCCCGCAGCTGCAGAGAGAAAAACCAGCCTCCTGCAGCCCCACATCTGCAAACACCACCATTCACAGCCGAAATACTCCACCAGAACTTACTCGGAAATATCACGGACGCTTTCCGCTGCCGCTTCGGTCCTGGGCTTGACAACCGAGGCTGTTTTCAGGACTCAGAGGACCGGGGGTGGAGGGGATGCGGCGCGCACTGGACGCCATCCTCTAGCAGACGGACGGACACCGGAAACCGCCACGCAGCGACCCGCCGCCGCTGTACCGTARCAGCTACAGCCGCTCCATTGTGGAGGAGCACCGAGCGAGCACCAAACTATCCTCGGCTGTGATAAACTGCTCTGAGGGTTTGTTTGAAGAGCTTACAGGCAAACACAAAGACGACCGAGCAGYGAAGTCAGAAAGTGTAGTTTTCCTCGCTGACAGCAGGGGGCGGTGTTTCTCAAAATGTAAACACTGAACAAACTGTTCAACACTGAACAAACCGTTCAACACTGAACAAACCATTCAACACTGAACAAACCATTCAACACTGAACAAACCAGTCAACACTGAACAAA